CAACAACAACAACAACAAAAGTCAGAGTGCTGCCTCCGAAGGCGCCGCCCGCAAAGGGCAGGAATGCCGCCCCTTGAGAAGTGCCGCCCCAAGCACATGCTTGAGATGCTGGTGCCTGGAGCCGGCCCTGGCCAGGAGGGGGCACCACAACAACTCCCCCAAATGTCCTTATCGGGGCTCCTCAGCCCCCAAGAGATAATCGGACCCCAGGGAGCACGGCGGGAGAACCAGCCCCTCCACTAGGGTAGCGACAATCTGGCCACGGTTGTGGGGTCGCTGGGGGGGCTGCCCCGTGGCTCAGGGGCAATGTGGGGGGTTGGAGGGCCAGTGGGGAGGTGACAGCAGTGAGCAGGGCCCAGGAGGAATGGGGAGGAGGTGGTGAGTGTGGGGAAGGGGGGCTCCCAGTTCAGAGATGGTCCCGTCCCAACCCCAGCCCTGTCCCCTCTCCCCCCACAGATGGCCGAGACGTTTGCAGAGATGAGACAGGAGCTAAACAGGAGAGCAATAGAAGCCTCCAGGAGGGAATATGAACAATTTGTGCAGGAGCAGGTGAGCGCAGAGGGGCTGCAGTTCGGGATTAAGGAACACCGCCAGAGCTGGGGGACCAGGGCTGGGCTAGCAGGGGGCTGAAGGTCGTGGTTAAGGGACACCGCCAGAGCTAGGGGGACCAGGGCTGGGTTAGCAGGGGCTGCAGTTCGGGATTAAGGAACACCGCCAGAGCTAGGGGGACCAGGGCTGGGCTAGCAGGGGGCTGAAGGTCGGGGTTAAGGGACACCGCCAGAGGAGAGGGGGAGCCCAGGACTGGGCTAGCAGGGGGCTGCAAGTCGGGAGTGAGGGGCACCGGCAGAACTAGGAGGCAGCAGGGCTGGGCTACCAGGGGGCTGCTCTTCAGGGTTGAAGGGGCTGCAGGTGTGTGAGGCAGTGGCGCCCCCTGTGGCTGGGTAACGCTACTGCCCGTCCTAATGGCTGATCTCTCCCCACTCCCGACAGGACCGCGACCACCAGAGCATGAGCAGCTGCCTGAGGGTGAAGCCTGCGGAGATGCAGCGATGCCTGGAGGGGAAACACCAGGAGCTGCTGGAGCTCTGCCGGGGGGAGCTGCTGGGCGAGGACCCCCAGAAACAGGCGGCCCTGGAGGAGCTGAAGCAGGAGCTGGACAGGCAGATGGACCAGTTCCTGTCGGACTACGAGCAGCGCTTTAATGTGAAGAAGGCCGTGGGGTTGGGCCTGGCTGTGGCGGGGGAGGGGACGTCCTGGGGAGCGGGGGTATCAGGACGGTGGTGTAGCTGTGGCTGTGATGGCGGTGGGGGGAGCAGTGGCCATTGGGGTGGGGGCGGGAGGATTTGGTGTGATTTGGGGGAGAGTGA